TTCTCTGGCGTCCTTCAGATATGTCCAATCCAAATACTCACCAAAAGCGCCCTCAATGTCCATCGTGGCTCCCGTCTTTGAATCTGTCGCTTGTGTTGGTGCACATTGTCGGTGCAACGTAGGATTGGCCTCGAATGAGGGAAGATTGTACCCGAAGTCAAGGTCGCCGTCGTCTTGAGTAAAGTAGTCATCATACAACGAAGGGGTCAAAGGCAAACAGGAAGATGAGTTAGGTTGGGCATACGTGATTGGCCGAGAGCCTGAGGTAACCAACCCAGCCGATGGGTGGAGTCCAGGCGTGACTGGTGATCCAATCGAGCTGGCGGGTGTAAAAGTAGGAGAAGTGATGGGCGATACCGGTGTTGGGGTGGTGGGTGGGCTGTAAGAAAAGTAATTACGCGTACATGTCGAGACCGGGACAGAAACAAGAAGACGCCCACGGAATTCCAAAATGGTGGAGAACATCAATCGTACTCACAAGCAATCTTGGTTACCGTTATTTCTCTCGTTGGTATCCACCCCGTTTATCTTTGAAGCATCGAGGACCAGGGAAGACGGAGATATACTCTGGTCGGGTAAACAAACGCTTGTATCGATAACCAAACTTCTCCTCCGGGTTTTCGTTGTACTGTCTCCATCTAAAACTCCAAACGGAGAATGGTCTGATATGACGTTCGAGCATGAGCCAGTACGTCGGCGAGAGATCTGTTTGGAGGTGGCCTCCGAAACGGGGGACGATGCCAGTGACTGACTTTGGGAAGACACAGACACGCTGGAAGTAGGACTAGTGGTGGATGACGAGCTACCGTTGGAGGATGATCGGTTCGTGCTGCGACGCGTGGACCGAGATTCAGGTGGTGAGACCACGGTCAGCGGTTTCACCTTTGGTTTGGTTGGTCCACGGATACGCCCCTCCGGGGCATAGATACAAACGAGGCCTCGCAAGAGACAACGCTGGCACGCAGGGTGTTCGCCGCTGCACTGCACGTCGGTTAATTATATATCGTGTCGTTTCAAATCTTACAACTGCGAGATGCAATCACACGCACCTTTGCCTTCCGCACCCTACATTTTTCGCATGCCTGTGCTGTTCGCAATCGCGGAGGTTCTGGCGTTCTATAAAATATCCCAGTGCTAGGATCCAGGGACCCTGCGACGGCACGCCTGGGGATGCCAGTGTCGGGTGTTGAGTTGGAGATTGCTAAGGCCGAGTGAGCGAGGTGGGAAAGGGGAGATGGTGATATGGGAGAGTGGTGACACGTGGACGAGAGAACGGTATTGCTGGGATATGGCGGAAGAAAGGGAGTGGGAGGATGTGGTGCAGGACCGGTCGGGGAAGGGTAAGCGATACGCACGCCGCTGCTACGGGTTTCTAGCATGTCGACGAATTGAGCCGCACGCGGCTGGGGAAACTCGTCGACGACGAAATTGGTGGATAAAGATGGAGTGTATGTCGGAGCCGGTTGGTAGGTAGTGGGTAACCACTGACTCGGAGCGCTGGAGTTCGAGATGAGAGCATCCGTGGGTTGGGTATCGGGCGGACTAATGTCGGAAAACCGGTTAGAGGATGGGGAATTATGGTTGCACTGCGACATGCCGAGTACGAGGGGTAAGACATTACAGGAAGAGTTCTGGTCTTGACGGTGAGAAAAGTGAGTGTGTGCGGAGTGTGCATTGGACATGCTTTGGTGCAATCGCAGTCGCGTACGGCCTGCGTGGTGGGTTCAGACGCTGGCTCGCCAGTGGCCCATCGAGCAATAAGTACCTGATGAATCGGTCAGTTAGTTATTTTCACATGTGAGCGGCACGCTCGTGGTCCGCGATGCTTCCGTGGAGTAATAAAAGGGTCGATCTTTGCATCCGAGACACCCGTCTTACGTAATATCAACCCCCGGACTCGCTTGACCGCTGTGGTTAGGAGGCAGCTTGGCGGAAGTTTATTCAGAGTCAATCTCTGGTCCGCGGGACGACCATAACATGCCTCCATGTACTACGAGCACGTTCGGAAAACCAAGATGTCGTTCCCTTATCGAGTACTACCGCCTCGGGGCCACGAGATGACGAACCTGTAGAACGAGCCTTCAACGCTTGGATCAAAGGGATATTGAACATGCACTCTTCCCAGTATCCAACGTGACGTCAGGTGAGTAAGTGTGCGTCATTAAACGCACCCAATTTCAACGATGAAAATGTTAATACGGCGGGAGAGTCGAAGCTTACGAGGAACTCATCATGTAGACACATCTACATACGTGAGAAGCTGGAGAGGTCCATACGTACTACTAAACAGTCCTCATATAATGTGTCCCGAAGTTAGTCTGTTATATATGTAACTAGTGTCTGTTTGTCCGTGGGCTACCTCCATACAACTTCGTAACCCAAGAAACATCGCAAACCAGTACATTCGAATTTCAAAGAAAGCACGTCTTGTCCCGGTTCCCCAAACCTATTACCAAGCCCCAAGAATCATAACCGCCACGCCACACAGGCAAGAGATCAGTGTAGGATCGGCTTTTAAGCCTATCGCACCACTTGTCTTCCCATTGGAAGGAGAAGAAGAGGGAACCGCAGTCGCAGTAACGCTCGGCGGCAGAGGGCTAGCGGCAGAGGTAGGCTGCGTCTCTACCTGCCCAGTTCCCACGATGACCATCGTCCCGTTGCTCGGAATACCATTCACAACAACAAATAATAACACAGGACCAGGGGTGAGCAAATTGGGATTCGGTGGGACTTGCGAGACATACAAAACGTATGAACCGTCCTCGTTCACACTATATGTGTTGTTGAGCTGGAGATGACGTTGGCCCATGTTCATCGCATGCGTGGAAAAGCCACCACGAGAAAGCACGACGGTCGTATTTGCTGCGGCTTGGTTCGCCGTTACGCCGGTATAAGATGATGCAGATACGTTAAGGCTGAAATAATCTCCGCCATAGCTCAAGGTACTCGGGACGCCTGATACCTGGGGACGAACGCTAGAGGAGAAGTACGGTGGGTAGAAGATTTCAGCCGTGTAGGTCGTGGGGTACGGAGAGTTGAGGGTCACGTCGATATTTGGGTTCGAACCCGCGATCAGAACAGAGGCGTCTGGTAATAGAATTGCGGAGGAGTGATATAATCTGGCTATGCTGGACGTCGGGAGCCCTGCGGTGGACCAGCGGGAGCCTTGAGGAGCGTTGGGGTTGTAGATTGCGGGTGTGCCGATCGGTCCCGAGGCCAGAGATTGGTAGTACGGCATTTGATCAAGAGAAGGGACGTAGAGCGTCTGGTTGGCATAACCAGCTGTTCCATTTCGACCGCCATTTACGAGCAGCATAGTACCATCTGGTAAGGTGATAAACTGACCCATCGTTCGCCCCTCCAGTAGACTGTCGTCTTGCTCGTAGACTGGGGAAGAACCATCCGGTGGTTCTGCGGTCAGGCGTTGGCAATCGCTAGATGCCGGGTAAGTCCAAGTATTGTAGAATGGCCAGGAGTAATTCCCATAATAGTCTGCAGGCATATCAGAGCCACCGCAAAAGAGGACAGTGGCGGTATAGTTGTTGGAAGGGACTAGGGGAAGCATGGCCACAGCTCCGGAAGCAGGGTATACACGAACTACGCCGTTAGGCATATCAGGAAGCGGGTACTCGACATTCTCGTTATAGTCCCACAAAACTAAATAATCGAACTGAGAGGTGGCAAGGGGAACAAAATAACAACCTACTAGTGGATACGTTTGCCTGAACGAGCATCTTCCCCGAAGGCATTAGATAGGTATGCGCGTAGGAGTTTAGTCCGGATGTGGTGGTCATGAATTGCATTAGGGTTGCCGCACCGCGACTCGGGTAGAACTCGTACGTGGGTTGCGCACCACCACCCTCGTACGTTGGGTCCGTGTTTGGGTAATTTCTGTTGACATAACCTCCGTTTACAAAACCGCCGATGAGGACGACTGTTCCATCTGCAAGTGCCTCCGCACCGGCGTACCAGCGATTCTCTTGCATTGAAAGAACTGCAGGGTTGTCAAACCACTGGCACTGAGTAGATGAGAAATTGTCCGCGTCTGTGCAAGGATTCAAAATACGGATAGACTTCCTCCCGTCATAATCCCCATAAGCTGAATCATAATTTCCAGGCGGTGATGCACCACCTGTTAACCGGTTACTAGTAGAACGAAGGGATGGAAACGACACTGGATGACGTACCGACTCCAACGGCATCGTTGCCTCCGAACGTGGCCCATGAACCATTAGGAAGATGCATTCCGGATGCGCAGAAAGTATTTGTGACGACCTCCATTACAGTAGCTTGGCGGGAAGCGATGTCCCTGCAAAGCAAGTAAAATGAAGTGCAGAAGTGGGCTCGGCAACTGGGGGACGGACCAGACTGCACCCCAAGCAGGGTGCCCATTAATCTGTGCTGCGTTACCTTCCGACTTGTCCAGTATATAGACTTTTTCTTCGTTACCAAGAAACATCTAGACGGGGTGGATCAGCCGGAATCGATGTATCGACGAATGGTGTGGGCGTACCATCATGGCGCTGACGAGGGTACTGCCAGCTTGCACGATGGTGCCTCCGGTCTGAGCATGGACGCCATTTAGCCAAGCGCAACATGCCAACCACCCAAGGATTGGCCGCATGTGGGTTCTAAGCAAAAGAAAAAAGAAGTCAGTTAACGACAGTGAGATTCCGAGTAATAGGTTGAGCAAGTGGAAAATAGTGGCGAGTGGGAGAAAGGTACAAGCACCGCGGGTACGAAGGAGGCACGCGGTGCTTACGAACTTCGGCCGCAGCTGAACAGGCTAGAATATCGTGGTTGGTGTCGTCAGCTGAACGCACAAGTCCATTTATAAATAGCTGTCGGCTGCCGTTGTCCTATTATTATACGCTGTAGCTCACGTTGAAACCACCACACTGCCTGCATTGCAGTCAGTCTCCGGCCAGCACGTGTGCAATTGACTCGGAGGCCGCGGGGAAATACTTCAAACGTCGCAAAGATAAAGAAGAAAAAAAAAATGGCCAACGTGGGGATCGAACCCAAGACCTTCGCGTAAACCCATGTGGTATTAGCACGACGCTCTAACCAACTGAGCTAGTCGGCCACTATAACTATAAAGCCTTGCAATGCCCTGTTAATCTTGGCGGGCCGCGAACGCCGAAAGGGGTGATTACGTAACAATTGCCTCCAAAAGTAACGAAAGAGAGGTTGATCGGACCAAAATTGATGGCGGAGGTGTGTTGAAGTTGGACTTTTTGCTAAATACTTTTTTTTTTCTTTCCTTCTTCTGTCTGCGGGGAGAGGACTGGGCAGGAAACGTCGGAGGTGAGTAGTGACTTTGGTCAGTTTACAATGCAGAGGGCCCGTGTTTTTCATCGTCGAACAGGCACGTAGCTTGGCCAGGGCAATTTGATCGCACGAGTGAAACGGTACCTGCCCAGTCCAGCCTTGCTCGTGCGCACGGCCCAAACCTGTCCTTGTCTTCCTATGTTTCCCGCTCGTCACATGTTCATTGATGATTAACGATCGTTGTATTTGAAGTACAGGACGAACATTACTACCCCAGCACAGACTACACATTCTACGCCCGCGTTTCTAGCGCCAAGTGAACGTGACGTATCGGTTCCGAAGGCTCAGTATTCTCAGCTGACAGTTCACTCCACATTCACGATCCTGTCGTGGCCCGGGGCGCGCATCTCGAAAAAATTCTCGCCACGGCCTCACTACTAGCTCACGTCCCGACTTTGTTACGAGCCCCAGTTATTCAGCCATACGTCGCTCCCTCGTTTCCGTGCGCATTTGTTTGCCGGCCCTGCATTTGCAATGAATGCCCATGATCTCGCTCGTTGGACTCGATTCGCGAGCAAGGGCGGCATTGGGAGGTGTACCGCTGTTGTAGACTGCGTCGCCCAGGAAATGGGCGAGGACTTGATGTTTCTGAAGGTGAGATTCTCCTTCATCATCCGAGCTCGTTGGTGCGGTCCAACCAGGGAGGTGGTTGTAAGTTGCGGTTTTGGAATTGGGATCTTGCATTCTCTCTGCCGTGTCTTGTAGGAGCGGCGTGAAGAGAGTACTGTACGATCTTGTAATGGCTAATTGCAGTCTACAACTTCATATAGGTCTGGTTTATACGGTGCTGCTCTTCCAAAAACCCTTGCACCCTGACCTGGTCGGCGGTAAAGATAAAAAGACTGATCTGTTTTCCTGACAGGACGATGAAATCACCGTGTTGATGCAACTTCCAGAGGAGGGGTTTTACTTGGTAAGTATCACACTGAGCGCGACAGTTGCCCACCTTTGGTTATGCCTCTGACCGCTCGACTGCCTTCAGGGCCACTGTGAGGGCGTCGTCGGTCGCTTCTCAGCCAAAGATGTACGTTTCCATGGGAAACTCAAGAAGCCCGTCATAACGAAGAGGACAAGTGTTGCTAGTGGGGCGGAGAGGATGTCGATTGCGGTCGCAGAGCGGCATCCGTCTATGGGATTGGCTAAGAGTGACGGAAAAATGAATTCGGTTGGGAACTCAACAGTATGGTCGAGAGAGCCCTGCCGGTCCCCATCACCGACGCTCTCCGAGAAGTCGCTTGCCCAGTCTTTTGCGGCCGATACGAGCTTCAAGTTGGGCGGAGAGGAGAGAGACGGCGAGGAGAGTAAATCTCCCAAAGTGCCCCCCTCCACAGGCTCAGTGTCCGGAAGCTCGGTGTATTCCACCCGGTCGAGACGTTCTGTGTCTACAACTACATCCGTGTCGGCGTACTCAACCTCAGGTTCTGTTAGTGGTTCAGGTGTTTCTGGTGCCACGGAGACGGATCACACGGGGTACAATGCGTCTCCGCCATCTACATCATTTCCTTCCGGTAAGCTTCCATCATTTCTCTTCCAGTGCTTGTTTTATAACGACCGTTCCGGGCCATTTCCAAAGGCACAGATTCCAATGATACAAGGGGTTCTGGTGACGTGAAATTATGCGCTGCCGATAGGGAGCCCGTTGCCATCATTATTCCATCACCCGCATCTGGGCTCGGCCTTGGAGCTGCCGCTTCTGTTCCTAGTTCTTCGCCTACCCTACCGATAGTTGCACCACTTAGGCTCTCTAAATCTCCCCGACAGACGCCAGCGAATTTGCCTTCCGGTTCATCGCCACTTCCCTCGCCTTCGTCGGGTGCTCCATCAGTCGGAATTCCAGGCTCGCTTTCTTCTGGGCTACCAGGGTCTTACCCCTCTCTCAATAGCCCACTGTCCCTTGCGCCGCCCAGGTCGTTTTCGTCGGCGAGCCCTGTACCTTCTTCTGGCCTATCAGGATCACTTTCACCAGCTTTATCCTTTTCATCGGGTTTCCCAGGGTCGCATTCCCCTTCTCCCCGTTCTCCCACTTTCCCATCAAGAACTCAAGTTCACGTTTCATCTGGCGCATCAACCTCGTCGTCTCCCCTTCCAAATCCGTATGGACCAGGCTCCGCAAGTCTATACGTTACCCTCTCCGGCGGGCTTATGAGTATAACTCCTCCACCATCTGCACCGCCAACTGGCCCACTCCCTCCCGCTCCGTCGCCTGGTGAAGTGCATGAGACGAGAACGGAAAAGGGCATGTCAGAGGAAATTGGACATGGGGATGATTTCGACGAAGGTGATTCGACTCGTCTATCCACCCTCGACGCGTTCCGCAGAGAGCTGCGTGACGAAGACGAAGACGACGGAAATGTAGCTTTCCAGTCGGAAGACGAAAAGGACGGCATGGTGTCTGGAAGCTGGCTCGATAACGTGTCAGGAAGCCCGGATGACCGCAATTCTGAACAAGGCGACATTAAGACAGAAAAGAAGACTAGCCTACGCAACAATAGTCAGAAGGGAGATTCGAAAATACCTGTCAATGGCGAAGATGAAAACTCGGACGGTGAGGTTGGGATCGGGCTTTCGCTGATGGGATCGTTGAATGGCGAATGTGATGATTCCGATGAGGACGTGCCCTTGGGTATGGTACGTGGTGATCTAGGTGCCACTGCCCCAGGAAGTAGCGGGAGTACACCCATGCCTTGGGCAAGACGAACACCCGTGGGCTCCGAAGCAGCCTTGTCACGTGATCAAATGACGACCAGACATGCTGCTACTTCTCCAATACGTGCTGAGGGCGGCGAAGACCTGGCAGGTTGTGAAGACCCGTTCCCGGAATCCTCACATGAAGCTGACGAAGAACCTGAGGAAGCGGAGGAGGAGGGTGGTTACTTGGACGACATATACGATGACTACCGCTATTCTCGATACTCGTTGACCTCTAAAAGGTTCTCAGTAGCGTCGCGCCGGATGAGTGTCGTCTCTAAGATGTCCGCAGGTTCAAAAACGTCAGGCACTTCCAAAGGTTCACGTGCACCACCCGTACCCGTTCCGATCTTCCCTACTGAGCGCTCCAGCTTTTCTCCTAGTCGGCCGAGCTTCTCGACAGACCGCAGCTTCGAGCAACGAAGTGTCACAAGTGATCAGCCGAGCCAATACAGCGCGCGGGATGAGCGCCCGAGTTTGTATTCGCGACCAAGTTTCGAGTCGACGTCGACAGCAGCGTCTGCAGAATCCTCCGCTTCACAGCGAAACGAGCACCCATTGATGCAGTCATTCGATCCCTCTCTTTCGGACGACACGCGGTCCTCCTTGTACTCGACACAAACGCTTGATCGCTTGAGCTCGCAGTTCCCGGCCGTGCCAACTGGCGTCCCAGTGCGTGTCGAATCGCGTCTTCGGATAGTCAATGACGGCCATGTGGAACGCGGGGAGGATACACATCTAGAGATGGAAATGGAGGTAATGCACGAATCCACAGAGGGTCATGTCATAGATGGGACTACCGCTGGGACGAAGGCTGGGCGAACTCTCGTCGCAGACGTCCACGTTCAACCAGCGTCAACGACCGCGGTAGTATCGTCGCCGTTACGTTCCGCTTCCCCACATCCACCGAGGACGCCAGCCGATGCAGAGGATGGACCAGAGTATACTCGCGACTCGGTAGATCAGTATCCGAACGAGGCTGATCTTCCGACTGGTGCACTGAAATCTCCTTTCGAAAGTCCGGACGTTTCTGCTGAAGGAGGGGCATTGGCACTAGCGTCAAGGGCCAAGACGGACAGCAAGCATGGGTCCGTCGCACCCAATGCTGCCGACTCTTCACCACGCAACGTATCCACTTCAAAATTTCAGATGACTGCCACCTTGGTAGACGACGATCATTGTATGCAGCTACCAGATGGACGTGGAGACCATTCATCCACATCCAATCATTCAGACGTACTGCCAACGAACAACCTACCCTCAACGTCCAATGCGTTGACGCCGGCGTTGACACCTGCTGAACAAGATGCCCCCCAGCACACGCGCTCACTGAATCGAACCGTACATCCATTTTCTCGTTCCTCTATCTTCCTCCCGCACCCTAATGCGCCAAAGCCTGTTGGTCATCAAGGTCTGGGCCCAATGTATGCGCGTCCCGTACAAGCTCAGCCGTACCCTGTCAACCCTCCTAATGCCGGACCTGGTAGCAATCTGTACCCTCAACCACCGCCCAATTCAAGTCTGTTTGCCGTACCAGTTCTCCATCGCCTGCGCAGTGCTCCACTTGCACAAGGCTCAACGCCTCTACACCGTCCTCCAATGACCATTTTTGCACGGTGCCAAGCTGATCTCAGTGCAAGCATAGGACCGGTACCAATCGTGTTTTCGCTAGAGCCACTTCCTCCTTTGAATTCATCCGCTAGCGGTCCGACCCCTCATAGCCCTAACTCAACGACAGTTATGCCCCCAATAAGATCTGCGACCTTACCTCCACTAGCGCACAAGGGTCTAGTTGGTGAAAATCTGTCGCCACCGTTTCGAGGGCGAGCCCCTGTTCCCGATGAATATATGCCTAGAGAGACAAAGGCAGAGGCATCCGGTCCCACAAAGCGGCCTTCCTTACGACTACCTAGGCGCTCTGCAACATCTTCCTCTACCCAACCAGCAGCTGTGAAGGAAGCGACAGAAGTGACGACGGCGCCATTACCAGCCCTTCGACCGGGTTTTGTGCCGCAAGTTGGAGGTGCCCGAGGTGCCCGACCAAGGTCGAGATCTTTTTCTGCGTTG